GAATATGATGTAAATGATAAGAACGAAACGGACTTATCAAACGCCGTTTTCATCCATCTTGTTCCGGAAGACCCACTTTGTCCCAATGACATGTTGATGAGTAGGTCTGGGAACAAGTTTCCAGACGTCATTTCTGGAAAATTGGTTGAGTTCTTCTTGCATTGCATTGATCCAATCAGAATCAGCTAGAGCTTCTTCAATATTCTTTGGTTCCACTTGTGAGATGAAACAAGCAAGCATAGCTTCTAGATTCTGTTTTGCACTCCTTGTGCGAACACCAGATTGAATATCTCCAATGATCTGTTGAGGAGGATGATCTCTTAACCAATGAAGATTGTGTTGATTGGAATTGACTGGTTGATCTAGTTCAGCTTCTGGTTGAAGGACAGAAGTTGTTGGTGTTTCCGGATGGATTGGCATTGGATCGCCATTTTCGGAATTGTCGCCGTTTGAGTGATCCAGAATATTGGAATGCTGGCCAAGATTTCTGGCAGGCTCAGCACTGTCTGAATCCGGATTTCTCTGTGAGGTCTTCAGTGGCAGACTTTTGAATGGAATGAACTCCGTAGGCTTCATTCTATCTCCTTCATTGTGATATACCCCCGACCACCAACAATGATCCTCGAGTCCGTAAACAAATCTGTGGAATAATGTCCAAGTGTTTTAATACTTTTTGGAATGAATACATCACCCATAAACCATACAACCCGACCCTGGTCCTGTTGGACCTTCCCCCACCTTGATGGCCGAAAGTACCACCCAAAACCACCCCTCCCAAATATCCAAATCAAACCCAAGTCCCTTCCTTTTTTTTACCACTGGCCGAACCCACACACCCCCACAACACCTCATCACACTTTAAACCACATGCTAAATCCACAAATCCTTTTCTTTTCCCTGGAATGGCCGAAAACTAAGAGCCAAAACCCAACCCATTATTTCTCCAATGTGTACTAGCAGTGGTCCCCTTGTGTTCCCCCAATCAAGCTGAATAAACAACCATAACAGGCCAAGAACAATTCAGCATACATTGGCTCATAATTTATCAAGAAAACCCAACTCATGAGAAGCCAAAAAAACTGCCATATTCCTCCTTCCTTGTTTCCCCACCTGGGCCGTGCATAACCCCACCAAAACCCACCATAAAAGAATCCCCATTTCCAACCAAATAAGTGAGTCGCATTTTCCAACCCCTCACTCCCCACACCAGGCCGAAACACCCTCCCCCACAACCTCATCCTTCTTCCTTGTTTTCATTCCATTAAAATAAGTGGACATTATTCCCCAAATAAGTGAATGTACTAGGAAGCTTCCCTCTCCCCCTGATGTGCTTATATATATTTCGGCCATAGGCCTTTGTAGCAGGCAGATTGTATTTTCCCATTTCAGAAGTAATACACTTGTGTGTGTTCTATTTTAAATTCAAATTTCTATATCTTAAGAG